TTTTTTTTTTTTTTTAAAGAACGCAAGCAAGTTTCAGAGAACCATCTGGATCTAGCTGGGAAAGAGAGAAGACAGAAGCCAAAGGAAAAGCAAATGGGCCCTGTCCCCGGACCACTGCAGCAACACCTGCTCTTGAGGCTGATGGACTCTCCGGGAGCAACTCCACCGCGTCCCTAAGGGCCGCCTGGAAGGGAAGGACCCGCCTGGGAAGAGAGGACCCGAGCCACACCCCCCAGGACACAGCTGACTGTTCTGTAGGACGGCCTTGTCACCCACAGTAAGTGTGTCCTCTCAGCTCACGCTTTCCTGGCTGGATGGTTCTGGGGAAGTCACCGAACTTTTCTAAGACTCAGTGTTCTCATCTGTTAAATGGGCCCCACGGCACTAAACCTCACGGGGGTGTGTGGGAATTGCTCAGATCCGTATCTGTGCTCAGCAGGACACTCAGCCCAATGAAAACACTCACCAAACAAAAGAAATATGAATCGATTAGGAGGAGCGATGCCAGCCTCCCAGTAGCCTCCGTGAAGGTCAAGATAACAGGTGCTAAGATTAGGCACTGCTGGAAGCCGCCACGTCAAGGTGCGGCCCAGCCAGTGTCACAGTTTCTCAGCGGCCCTAGTATATGTCCTGAAGGCCCCTTTCCCTCCTCAGCAGCCCCTCCCAGGGTCCCTGAAGATGCCAGAGAGGACAGGGTAGCAGATGAGGCATCTGGGCCTCAGGCAGGTCAAGCACCTGCCCAAGGCGGCACAGCACGCCGGATGCAGGCAGTGAAACGGGCCCACTCCTCGTGAGGCCCTGGGATGGCACCCCAGCTGAGCCACAGGGGAGGGTGGGAGAGGAAGCCCCAGCCCGTGGGGGGACAGTACACCAGGAGCACCTGGGGGACCGTGAGAACAGAGCCCGGTGAAGTCTCGGGGCCAGTCCCCAGACGCCAACTTGTATCAGCCCCCCTGGCCAGCTGGACCCCAACGCCTCCTAGTCTCCCAGCCAGGCATTCGGGGCCCCAAGAGCAGAAAGGCCAAAGGAGAGACAGACCAGACCCCCAGAAGGGAGGCCGTGTGTGGGGACGGCCCCATTGTCACCCCAGCCACCCCTGGAAAGGTGCGTGCACACCAGCGTCTCAGGAGAGCCTCAGCACCTGTTCTCCGCTTCACGGATGCGAAAATGGAGATCGGCATCTGCAATCAGAGGGCTGTTGACTCTCCTGCTTCACGACCATCAAAGGTGCAGGCTGACCTTGAAGAAAGCCTGGCCCGTGAAGGGGTGTGGGCCCCACAGGGTCTGACTCACCCCGAAGTTCGGGCCCGGCCACCCGCCACCCACCCTACACTCCCCAGCAGGCCACGGTGCATTCAGTTCCCTGACGGAGAAAGCCATCCTCCCTCCCGCTCCTTTCATGGCCACCTCCCATTCTGCCTCCTCCAGGAAGCCTCCCCTCATGACCCCATGGTCTGGCACCTCCTCTCGGCTCCCAGGTTGGCAGAGGGCTGCCCTGTGTGTTTGCTCCTCCATCA